CTGCTGCAAACGGAGGGGTTGGGATGGAAGCCATTCACTCGGGTCTCCCGCTTCTCCACTGGGAGTTTTGTTGAGGGACTGTATTCCTTTGCTAGGGTTGCTGTAACAAAGCACCACACACTGGCTGATTTACCACAACAGATGTGTATCGTCTCACGGTTCTAGAAGGCTGAAGTCCTAACTCAAGATGTCGGCAGGACTGTGCTCTCTCTGAGGGCTCCAGGGGAGAGTCCTTCCTTGCCTCCTCTGGCTTCTGGGTCTGCTGGCAATCCTTGGGGTTTCTTGGCTTGTGGGTGGATGCCTTATTCCTATACATTTTCACCCCTTCTTCCATCTGTGCAGATCTGTCTCCATGTCCAGATGTCCCCTTTTCATAAGGACACCAGTCATATTGGATTAGGGCCACCTGCCCCCATGAACTCACTTTAACTTGATTACCTCTATAAAACCCCAACCCCCAAACAGGGTACATTCTAAGGTACTAGAGGATTTGGACTTTGTATCGTTTTCAGCAGACACATTCAACCCCTAACAGGGACCACACTGTAAAATAGATAATGTTTGGAAGGCCTGTCACTATGCACTCATGAATTGTGCACGCCAGTGGGTCATACAATCCTGAGGCACCAGGGTAAAGTTACAAGTCTACAAGGGTATCATGATAACACAAAGACAATCACGATGTGAAAAACTACATACTGTGATTTTACCAAGAAAAGTGAACATTATAACCGAGATTGCATTAAATTTGCTAGATTACGGTTTTCCTATGATCATCGGTATAGAAAATACATGGAGGACAAGACCCCAAAAATCCAGGTTGTTTTTTTGTTTTTGTTTTTTGTTTTTTTCTGAAAAGGTATATCAGAGGGTGATTATTGTGCTACTAGGTAGGCTATCACAGAACCCTTTTATATAGTAAACACTCAGAACTCTTTCACGTATTAAGCACAGAGAAGTTGTACATCTTAAACATTCACAAAATCAGATTCACACCCCTTGCCGGGGGGACAACATCCATTACATAAACGAGGCCACGCCTGCTTTCGCTCATCACCCACAGAATGAACCCATCCATTCTTCCGGGTTGTACCAGAACATTCATGGCCCTGCAGGCATTGGTCCCAGCAGGTGCTGCTTCAATTCCTGACATGGTTTCTCAATGCACAGCGTCAGGGCCAGCCCAGTGACGAAGGTCAGCAAACAGTGTCCAGAGAAAAGATAGAACTGGAGAGAAAAAGGGGCAGAGTGGATGCAATCTTACTACCAGATTCCTGGCTGTACGAAATGCATCTGTAAGACAGAGTGCCCTGAACATTAAAACTAGAGTAAATACAATCAAAGAAAGATATTATCCTGAAGCGCTCCCTCAAATAAAACAAAGGAAAACAGGCTCCTCGAAACAACAACAGAACCCACTACTCCCCCAGCCAGTGGCTTTGTGGCTCCAGCAGAGTCACACCAGAGCCGAGAGCGGGGACTCACCATGTTGGTGTCAGTGAAGTGAATCAGCGTTTCTTGAAGCCCGTTGTAGAGCATGATGAGGATAGGGTGCACCAAGTAGCAAGCGTAACTGATGCTGGCCAGGAGAGTCCAGAGCCGGCAAGAAAGCAGCCGGTCCACCAGACCTGGAGGGAACCGACAGCGTGGTTTACGGAGCCTCGGGCGCCTCTCTGGCTCCACGGGGACATCCCCGTTCCCTCGGGGCCCCGCTCCTGAGTGTGTGAACCTCCTCTAAGAAGGTCTTTATTCTTCTCATTTTTAAGAGAATGTGCCCAAAACAAAGACAAAAGAAAACAAAACAAAAAACACTTCCCTTTGCGGGAGTATGAAAAAAATAAGAGATGCTAATATAGAGTTTAGAGTCGCCCGGAACACAAGACATGCCACGTGTAAGACGAGGTGCGAAGTCCTTCCGCCAGCTTCGGTTCTGGCTCCAGATGCAGCACAGGATCCGCTGGGCCTTGGGACAAGGCAGTGGCATCGCCAGGCCCGGGACTTGTCCTCTGTTATGGAGGAGCTTGTGTTTGGCCAGCTTCTAGTCCCTTTCAGGACAAATATTCTGTAACTTGCTATAACTTCTAGAACTGTGCTGTCCCACATGGTAGCCACTACCCACTTTGGGCTATTTAATTTAAATTAATTCAAATGAAGTGCAATGAGACATCCTTCTCTGCACAGGACTTCCTGCTCTCTGTAGTGGGTTAAAGAGTGGTCTCCCAAAAGCTATGTCCACCTGGAACCTTGGTCTATTTGGAGTGAGGGTCTTTGCAGATGAAATGAAGGTAAGGAACTCGAGATGAGATTATCCTGGATTAGAGTGGGCCTCAAATCCAAAAATGAGTGTCCTTATAAGAGACAGAAAAGGAGACACAAACACACAAAGGCGAGGAACTGGGTGAAGGCCATGTGAAGACAGAGGCAGAGATTGGAGTGATGCACACACGGGCCAGAGAATTCGGGGCTTGCCGGCAGCCATGGGGGTGGGGGGTGGGGATGGAGAGAGCACGGAACAGATCCCCACAGGGCTTCTGGAAGGACCTTGCCAACACCTTGATTTGGGGTTTCTAGTCTCCAGAACTATGAGAGAATCAATTTCTGTTGTTTTAAGCCAAGAAAAGAAAGAGAAAGAAAGAAAGAAAGAAAGAAAGAAAGAAAGAAAGAAAGAAAGGGGGCGCCTGGGTGGCTCAGATGGTTAAGCATCTGCCTTCGGCTCGGGTCATGATCCCAGGGTGCTGGGATCGAGTCCC